ATCAGAGGAATTCTTTGTGTCACTATAACTACATTCCATTAAAATATCTAAGTTTTCCAAAAGGGATAAAGTGTTCTACAGATTCAAATATGGTTTCAGGCTGAGCTATTCTGTAGAGGCTATTGCAAGAAAGTCTAAAGGGTATTGAAACAAAAGTTGTTTTCATGTCACAGATTTTTAACTAAAGCTTCACCTTGAAGCACACTTGCTGGAAGGGCAGGTGGTTTCACATCATCACCTTAACTATCTTAGTAAGACACACCACTTTTTCTCCAAAGCCATCTATCTCCATAGAGGGAAACCAATTTCATTCTCTGACTCACCAAAATAGCTGAATTTCTATCACAGTTGTTGGAAACAGTCTTTTCAGATTAGGAATTGATACTGAAACCACAAGTCTCATCCAAAATTAATTGAAATGTCTGTAACAGGACCGTGACAGGATTTGAGCAAGCACTGGAAAAAGGATCCCCTTCCATAACCGTGCTATCACCACATGAAGAGATTTGTTCTCTATGCTTTGCATGTGTCTACATTTACATCTGCTGTCTTCTTTTCCTCACTATATATCTCAAATTGTTTTCTGAAAAAACAGCACAGCATCAGCAGCAACCTAGACTAAAAGGGATGTAAGGGAAGAAGGATGAAAAAAAAAATCTTCAATATAATAGAATTTACTAGGAATCGGTTTCTATTGCTTGAAATTTTGTTCAGTAGAACAGATGACGCATATGGTCAGGAAAAGGAAATGGATTGTTTAATACATCTTTTCTACCTTTAATTTCTGGGATAGTATCAAATTCATATATTAGATTCTATTTAAATCGCTGTAGTTCTAATAGGCTGATTGTTCCTCATTCATATGTCCTTGTAAATGTGAAGCTAAGATCACATTTTTCATGTTTAATCTTCCTCTAACAATACCATCCTGTCAAGGCAATTTATTCCAATACAGTCAGCTCGTAAGATCAATATTTTCTTTTTTATAAGCATATAACTACATGATAAAAGGTATTTCAGTTACTCGAAGTGCCTCTGCTATCACAGAAGATAGAATAACAGCTTTAACTGGTGTGTAGAGTGTTCGTAAATCATTACTAAATAAAATTGGAAGATGTTCACTTGTTGCAGGGCTCTCCAACTTGTCAGACTGCAAGCTATCCAAAGAAAAAAAGATCTGAATCTGAAACTTAGCTAGGATACTCATATCATGATGACTTTGTATTAAAAAATTAGTTTTACCATGGCATTACTTCTCCCATTGCAAATTTTTTTCTGTCCAATAACCTTTCTAGCATACCTACACTTAAACTAGAAAGACAGTATACAGACTCAACAATGCACTGAAATAATTTGGTTAAAATTCACTGTCAAAATAGCTCAAGAGCCAGAAGCTCCATCCCTTCTATTATCATTCTTCCCTTGGGAAGATTCTCTCCGCTACACAGAATCCTGCATTTGAAGTGGAGAACTGTCCTATCACTACAGAAAGTTTCTTGTACAGAGTTGTCCAAGCAATATTTATGATTTTATAAAGCAGGATTTTAGTTTACGAGCAAGTATCTACACAAATGCTATTGTTTGCAAAACAGTGTTGGAAAAATGTCATGGGGATCCAGATGTAAACGAACGTCAGAAAAAATGCTGATGTTTGTATCTGCACGGTTTTTAAGACAGAGAATAAGAAAGTTTTATACAGCATGATTTATTAAAAATTTCTTCCCTATCTCTACTTCTCCCATTTTTTCAATAATATGCAGATCTTTCCATATGCCAGATGTATTCTTTTCATGTGCTTCCTTTTCTTATGCTATTCTGTGCTAGCAAAAAAAAATACTTTAGGAATTCTTTCTGAAGGATTTATCAAATAAAAAAATTTTATATTTTGCAGGTTTAAAGTGCTGTTTTGCCTTCAGCTTTACCTTAGACAATACCATTCCTAGAAGTCTTTTAATGGAAAAGCATACTCTGATCTGTCTTTCAATACTCAATGTTGTTTGCATACTGGAATCTAGGTGAATGATTAGATTTCAAATAACAGCTTTCATGAATATGATTGCAAATTTCATTCATATACAGCATTTCAAGATACAAAAATACATATTATGAACAACTGAATGCAAAAGAGTAGCAGGAAAAGTGGAAGGCTTCACATACTAAGAGCGACATAATAGCTGAATGGTAGCATTTCTGAACCAGCATAAGAAGAGAAAGAAACCACTGGCTTTCCACTACAGTACATTACAGATGATACATTCAGATCACATTTCCTCTGCTATGCTTTGCATCTTTCTATAAGCATTTAGTGCTCTGAAGACAAAGTTTATTTTTTATTTAGGACGGTTTGTTTTCTTTTTTAAATCTGCCTAAACTGTGTGTCTGTGCTGTCACTCATCAGTTAGCTAAACCAGGACAGTTCTCATGAAATTGGGAGCCACATTGGTGACTTTGATTCTGTCTACTGCTTCAATGAACTCATCATAGCTGACTGACACGAATCAGTAATGAAACAAACTGGAAAGACCCTAATCCACAATACCTTCCAGATGTTGTACTGTATTTGGGCTCCTATATTATTTTGAAATTTAAAGCATACAAAGGAAACCTGCTAAATCAGTAATACATTTTAAAATGTACAAATAATTACTGGGATACAGCAAAGTCCAAACCTGTTAAATGAATTTTCACATTAACATTAAGGACTTCTTATTTACTTGCCTTGCTAAAAGGCAAACCTACCTGCAAATCCTACTTACACACAGAGACAAATGGTGCAGAAACCATAACTTACTTGTTCTGAGTCACCCTCTACACAAGGATCTCTCTCTCTGAATTACAAAAGATATATAAAAGGGAAAGGCAAAGTAGGCATCTAACCTGAAACTGTAAATCATATGGTCTAAACATCCTCCCTTCCCCTCTAGTCACACATTCAATCCTACCACTGTATTACCTACAAGCATGTCCCAAGTATTTGAGCTCCACAGACAGCAAATTTTGCCATCTCTTTAAAAGGTGTAAAGGAACACACAATCTTCATAATACACTTCAGTGTATTTTCTTAAAACTTCTTTCATCACAGCTTCTCAAAGTAATATAACTTGCTGATCTAAATTAAAGCTACATTAGGAACCCAAATAATTCAGATTTTTGAATTTGTGAATTATTTCACTAAGGATGACTTCTCTAAAGTGAAAACCCCCTTGGAAGCAGATGTAAAGCTAAAATTTGGTAAATAAGTCACTCCTAAGCTGACTACATTAAAAAAGCCTAATTTTTTTCCTAAGTGGATGATAAATGTCTCAGGAGGATTCCATGAGAAAACAGGTGAAGTGGGACTACAGACAAGAAATAAAAAAAAAGTGATATTGGTGTAATTAAGAGATATGGAAATCCTTTCAACCCTATGAATAAATATAAGCAAAATGCTTAACTCTTCCTGCAAAATGACATAAATCTTGTAAAAAATATCCAGCAAAAACTGCTAAATGTGCAAACTCTCTCATTATCCCTGTCAGTACTGTTAGTTAGATTGCTGTGTCACCATGAGTCAGTCAATTATGCAGTCACTTTCATAAAGGGTATTCATCCCAAATAATTATCTCTTGGCCTCATTTCCCAGAGTTTGTGGTCTTGCTATTTTCTCATTTCATATTCCTTTTCAATGGATGCTGTGATTCTATTTATTCTCTTAGGCAGCCTTCATCTCCAAGGATTTCAATATCAAAGTTTCAGGAAACTGATACATCGCATTCAAGTGTGAAACTTCATCCCTTTAATTCACATAATGCAAAGAATCTGAGATTGAATTATAGCTACTGAAATCAGCAATTTTCTTTTAGACATAGGCGTGGTTTTTATTTCCATACTTCCCTTTTAAATCTTATTTCCTATTCTAATATGGAACTGTATGACATTTTCTCTTTCAAAAAGCCTTACTTAGTTTCCCATACATGACAGAAGTATGTAATAAAGAAAGTCATCATTTGAGAATGTATGGTGGTATTTTCTGGCTGTTTTACTGCTTTCTTCTCTGGCATACTAATAACCACTGATACATATAATATGACCTTTATCGTGGCATACATTTATTAATCTTTTTTCATAAAACAGTAATTCATCAATAATTTTTGTATCTTTAAACTTCTGTATAAAGTTTAAAATATTGTGAGACTATTTAAGACTCTGTTTTACTTTCCTTTGCATGTGAAACATTTAAGATAACCACTCTTCAGTTTTCAGGGACAATGAGTGCCTGTATTTCTGGAGAAATTAATTGTCAAACTGTGACGTTCCATACATTGTCTAAAGGCACTGCATTCATGGAATATGCAATTTTTAGGAAGTTTTCTCTGAAAAAAATTCCAAATTTTGACCTTCATTTTACCTAATGAGAGAGCATATGGAATTTGTACAAGAAACTTCATATGTCACATTATGGATGTTCTTTAACTGATTTGTCCTCTCTGTTTCATTTTGTATTCCCTTTTTACATGTGGCATACTTTTTCTAATGCATTCCTAGCAGTCCAATACAAATGTCAAGTGCTTAAACATATCTCCCAAATCTGTTGCTCCAGTGGATTTAAAATTCAGCCACATTGGCTCAAAAAAATGCAATGAAAACTTTTTGATTTCATTGTTGACAATGACTCATGGCAATCCAGTTCAGTGAATGAATGGTAAGGATCACCTGTTCAGGTTGCAAGCTGAGACAACCACATCAAATTCACTGTTTTATAAAACGGACTCATGTTACACAGTACTTCCAAGCTGGAGTTCTAGACCACTTAGAGTAGGAGATTATATTAATGAATGGACAAGTGCTTTTTCTGACAAAACCCACCTTTCCACACAACTAGCACATTCACTGCAAAACCAACTTTGTCATACTATTCTTCTGTTTACACAATGACACGAAATGAAAAAATTCTCCATCAAAATGTGCAAAGTTTCAGTAATTTTATAACAGTTATTAAAAGGAAAAATTATTTTACTTACCAAGCCAACTTCTGTTTAAATATACTGACACAAACACTGGAGGGACCGTGAAGAAATCTACCACTGAGTTAACTTCTAGCCAAAACCATAGCTTGTCATTGGCTGCTATAAACTGGAGGAAAAAAAAAAAAAAGGAGAGATGAAAGAATCAGATTATGCTCATGCTGACTGCATGTATGTGAAATATTTTCTGTTCTGAAATTCTAAACTCAAAAGTTAGTGTAGTAATTGATGTTTTAAGTCAGTCCAGACAAAACATGTCTCACTAGAAAAAGGTTTGTATTGTGTATTGCTTGATTGCTTAATACATTGGTATTAAAATGAAAAATCTAACTGAAGAGATAGATCATATATGTGATCAGTTGTAATATCTACGCTAAAAAATATTTTTTCCACATTTATTAACCATGTATCAGTATTATTAGAGAAGTATAGGTAAGTATAAAATATTTTGAAGTATATCACCTTTCCTCTAGCACACCAAATGTACTGGTAGTAGTTTCATCACACATTTGCTGCTCACAAGTTTCTAAATACATAACAGTTTACAAAGAGTCCTATTATCATCTGTCCAGAGGAGATCACCAGGATGACTCCTACAAGGCATAGTTCAGGACTGCACCAGCACTGCAGTCCTTTGAACTGTGCCATAAACGTGGTCATTCCTGTCTCCTGACTATGAAATCAGCCTAAGGAAAGTGGTAAACTTAGATGCCAAGGACATCATAGATAAAACTTGCCTCTGTGCTTAAATAAGGTCAAACTATTATTCCCATTTGAATAATAATTAAAACATAATTAAAACATAGAAATATGAAATTTAAATATACAAATAAATATAAAATTTTAGTGCATCATGAAGACATTTACAGGAGCAGTTTTACTCATTTAAGTTTAGAAACTTTGACTAACACATTTAAAAACAGTGCTTGTATTTTTTGAGTTAAAGAGAATAGTCATTGTGTTTTCTTTCAAAGCAAATACAGACAATCTCTATTTCATTCACTTTATTTCCTTGCCTTAGAAATACTTCAAAACTTTGACAGAATAAGTTTATGGAGCATACCAACTTTGCTGGAATGCCAGATTAAATATTTGAAAAGGAGACTGTACTGATGTCAAAAATCTTGAAATCATATTTAAAAATAAGACCAAAAACATGAGCAGCATTTGCTTCAGAGAATACTCAAAATGGAAAATAAATTGATATTTTGCTAGTCTGTATTACTCAATATCAATGTTCCAGCATGAAAACAGAACAAAAATATCCAGTTTCAGCAGAAGATTTCTATTCCCTTTTGTTAAATTTAGAAGTAGTCAGAATATTTGAAAGTAAAAGCTTTTTAAGATGTCAGATCAATATTTTCATAACTTACAATATATGTTCCAATCATAATTTTTTCTTTCCAAAGGGCACAAGCTTGAGGCTTTCAAACAAATTAAAGTCAATGAAAACGAAGTCTGTTGACTGTAAAGGTCACTTATACTTTTCTGTGTAAGTACTGCAACATTTATTCATTAGGTAATTAGCAACTAGTAAAAGCCTATTTCATTACAGAAGCAATCCTACCATGTTTGAAGAGATGCTATCTTTTAAAAGCACTAGCATAATTCTGTCCCTTTCAAAGAAGGATTACTGCCACACTTTCCTTTTCTCTGCCAGACCCTATTGCTTGATAATATGCTAACTCAGGCAGTTTGGACTTAGTCTTCATCAGAAGTTTGAAGGCGTCACTTCTGAGCTCTCACATAGTTGGACACTAGCCAACAAAGATTTTAAAATGGATATATGTGTGTTTGAACACAAATATCTTCTGTAACTGAAGATATGGCAATATTTACGTGATTTTGAGTTGCAACATAATTTCGAGGAAAACAGATGGAAAAGGATGAGATTCTAAAATATTTCTTCAAAACCTTTAATTTGCCAATGAGTCCTCACAGGAGATATTTATCAGAGAAAAAAACCCTAAGCCACTAAAATACCTAAACATATGAGATGCTTATTGCATAAGTAGCAAATTCATTATTGATCCAATTCTTGTGCTCACACAACCAAGTGTTACCTTTTCCTCAGAAACTACTGTCTAGTTCATTGGGACTTCTTGGAGATCTGAAGGTACACCTGTGTTAGCATTTTAACTCAGATAAGGAATACCAATCTGAAGTGAATCCTTATCATTCCCACTTACCATAGCCTCAGTTTGCATCACAAAACAGTTTTGGATAACACAAGAATTTATTTTGCTTGAAACTAAAACTGAAAAAATGAGTTCCGGCAGTGCATCTCACTCACTGTAACTGCTAAAGTGCATTCAGTCCACAGGACCAGGGTGCAGTCTACAGAGCTGTCTCTTTCTTTCAAAAAACATACAGTGCAGACATGAAAGTATTAACATCAGCTCTCAGTATCTTCCCTCTTATTGTGCTCTACTTCTTGATAATGTAACCTAAGTTACTGCTTTGAGTAAGAGTGGACAATATGTAACTTTAATTCTTTTGGTAAGAAAATACAACCTTATTACCAGCACAAAATTTACAAAGGATTTGGATACTGCTAAAAAAGGATTCTTGGGGGTTCACAACTACCATGCATTGAATCCATTATGTCGAAAAGTTAACCTACATTGCAGGCCTTATGGATGTCTACTAAAGCCCCACTTTTAAGAATTAGGGGCTATTACACTGTATGCTTTTAAAATATAGCTTAGAATGCATAGATAGTAGTGTAAATACTGAAGGAATTTATCTATAGCTAAAGGATAAACACTGCACCTAGACTAGGTGATGAAATAACCTAGGTTTGCAATATAATTCCTTACTGTATCTTCAGAAAAAGTTGGTTAAATTGATTAGAAGTGAAATAGAAGGAACTCAACTATCATTGTGACAAAGGGGCTCCTGTGACTCAGGAACAAAATGGACAAAGAAAGATCAGGAGGCAATATTTGTATTAAATTTAAAAACCAATGTAGCAGGCTTTCCGTTCACATGATGTTTTCCTTGTAGTTCCGTTAGGTTTGAGGCCTTTTTTTGCTAATTTAGATCCTGCAACAGCATTACTGGATTTGCAGAAAGTGATGAGTACGATCTAAGGTTCTGTGTTTCAGTATATTGACTAGTATTTCTAGCTTCTGCAAAGCACTCACTAGCAGTCTGGGAAAGTGGATGTGTATAAAACTGAATACAGCAGCTCTAGCAGGTGTTATCTCAACCTTTGACTGTCAAAGACATATCTAACAGCAGAGGAACAGATCAACTCTTCGCCGGTTTTGCTGAAGTAGTTATCACACCACTGAGAACAATGAAACTAGATTTGATGTCACTGACCAGCATGAACTGTTACAGTTTTCACTTTCTATCACATGAGAACAGTCTGGGACAGCTTCACTTATAAACTATTGGTCTCCTTGGTGATCTTAGATTCTTCTTATTACCTAAATGTTCCAAATAAAATGCTTTGATCCTGCATTTTAGAAATTAGCTTAATTCTGTCCAGCCATTGCAGAGTCAAGCTGCATTCAAAGAATCTCCCTGCCTCATGCTGTCAAAAACACACACATTACTTACACGCAAGCCGAAGTAGAGTAGGAAGAACACATTGAAAGCCATGTCGATCTGTAATGTGAAATCTTTGTAGAAATTCTGGCAGGATTCTATTGGGCTATTTGAAACAAAAAGAAATCAGAATAAATTGTCAGCATATGAGTTTCTATTCTGCTGAGAATTTTATGCATTTCATTAAAGACCTTGATTCAGAAAAAATTTTTCTGTTTTCCAGTCGTTTACAAGATAGAAGCAAGCATTTCAAAGGAATTATTTCATTCATTCAGTTAGTCATTCATACAGTGTTTATATTCACCTATTCAGGTAATATCTGAGAGTTAACATGCAGATACCCTTAGGAAAGGACAAGCAGGAGTATACCTCAGGATTCCTTAACCCCACATTAACCCTTAAAGAACTGACTTCTTTCTAAAGGAGACACACCTATGATACTTTAGGAAAAACCCTAACAAGCACACAGCTACTGTGAAACATTACACGCTTTTAATTAATGTCATAATATAAAACCTTTAACAAAAAAGTAGTTGCTTAGGAATACATTACCCATTAGCAACCTGGGGTACTTAGTCTTGTAGAATCCCTTGTTTATAAGAAGTTGGATGGTTTTTTTTTTCTTTTTCTCACTTTTTTTTTTTGTACAGCTATTTAATGTACTTTATGTATAGTACTATGAACTGAGTAGAAAAGCAGCATAGCCCATTGGTGAAATTAAATAACAAAATAAATTGAAGAATTTGAAGCAGTACTCTAAGGGTTAATTTCTGCATGCAGGTTATTTAAAATACCCTTCTATGTGTCAAGCAGCCATTGCAAATTATAGCTTATTATATTATGCTTTATTTAACAGTGGGACAGATCCAAAGCTTACTCTATACAAACTGGTACTTTACAGATATACTTTTATCTAAGGAAGGCAATAACTTCCACAAGTATCATTAGTGATTTATTTGTGAAGTTTCTAAAATAGGTTGTTGAAGCCACAGTCCAATACTGTAGTCACAGACCAACGTGAAAATCATGTCCCAATATACGCTGATGTATATGCTATATATACATAATGTCCCATCATATATATACTATATATACATAATGTCCCATCATATATACATACATATACACACATATATTGCAAATGATCATGTGTTCATCACAACTAGAATAAAACAGGAAACTAGAACGCAGATCATTTGATCATTTGGAGCCCTAGAAAATATCCTTTTAGAAAAGCAGAAATTTGTTGGCTTTCCAGGTCAAATAAATCACTGAATGTGAATCTAATACCAGTTAGTATAGCAGTAGCTCTGCAAATATAATGCTAGACTGCTCAACAAGCAAGATTCTATGCATTATGAATGTCGGTTACCTAATTAAAGGCATAAAGGATATTGTCTGGACTACCAGGTCATTACACATGCAGCCAAATTTTCCATTCCTTGTATACATTACAGGTCAAACAAGTTAAGTACAGCATGCCCTCTCCTGTCTTTAGATGCATGAATGTATACAGTAAAATTCTCCTTGATGTACAGTAGCTTTATATTTTAAGAAGCTTCAGTGCTATAGGAAATTTTATTAAAATTGTTTTCAAAGGCTATTTGCAAAAACATCGAACTTATGAGACATTTTTGTTACACTTCGAATAAAACTGATTTACACAAGCAGGCAAAAGGCAATAGAAGCCAAATGTCAACATATAGCACAGCAGACAGTACCTCATACTTTACAAATACAGCTTTAGCTACAAAAATAGTGGATGTAATCTGAGAACCCAACTGGATCATTTTCTTTACGGCATTATTGAGAGCAAAGGATTTTGTCAAAATAAGGTAGATTACACATTGAGTCACTATGCACCCTACCAAAAGAAATCACAGAAGTAATGTGGAAGCAGAATCAACAGCCCTGCACCAACACAGAGGCTTGGACTCCTAATTCCCGGTTAGGTTCCTGCAAAAGCTGCAGAAATTCACTGGAGCTACTGGAACTGCAGGGACTTATAACTAGGATAGAGAGCTCTTCTTTTCCACAGTTATTTGGTACTTTTCACAATTGTCAGCTAAGGTCAGCTAAGGTTGCAGCTAACAGCTGTACTCTTGTGTCATTGCCCTTTACAAAACCCTACAAGACCTGACAAATTAGCTAATGCATAATACATTTTCATCTTGTTTGCAAAACACTTAGCACAGTAGACCAAAATTCTGATTTGGGACTCTTGTTTACCTAAAACCAGAACTGCTATTTCTGCTATTCATACCCTTAAATCTTCCCTCATTTCAGAGATCAAGACTGTCTCAATTTTTAAGTTATCCATTTCAAAGACAGACACAACATCCTTTCCTTTTTACTTTAAATGATGACTTTGTCAGAAAGGTATGCCACTGAAGAAATTATTCTTCAATTTAGGTATTTTTTTGTTTTCATCAGTAGCTCACATTTGAGCTGAGATAAAAATATGGCCACTGATGTTTGTCATTGTACCATTCAGTCTGCTGCAGATAGGAAGCCAATTTGAAACTCATCTTTACACCAAGTTTCCCAAAACCAGAAGTGCTATAGTTGTTAGAGTTCCAGACAGTAGTCTACTGGGCTCACTAAGACTAATAATATATTCTATTTTTTATATTAAAATCACATAGCATGTCCTATGGGATTAGACCCCTTTAGGGCAGCAGAGGTTTCAGCTTTAAGAAGGCAACGGACTGTTAGAAATATTTTTATTCTTTTCCATGTAAGCATGGTTTCAGACATTTATACTATAAAAAACAGGAGAAACTACGATAAAATCAGTGAAATAGCACACTAGCAATGACAGGAAAGATTTAATATAACTTGATAAAAATTATAGTAATGATGTAACTCTAAATGCAATGGACTTCTCCCCCTGAAAAAGTGGCAGGATCAATAGTCCAACAACTACTGGACAGCAGGTGAATGAGGCAGCTAGGGATGGCAGCCCACCAGACCTGTTTTTCTGAACAGAGAAGGACTGGTGGGTGATGTGATGGTTGGAGGCCATCTTGGGCAAAGCAATCACAAAAGATAGTTTCTGATTCTTGGAGAAGTCAGGAGGGGAGTCAGCAGAACTGCTACCTTGGACTCCTAGAAGGCAGATTTTGACCTGTTTAGGAAACTGGTTGAGAGAGTTCTTTAGCAGGCAGTTCTGAAGGGCAAAGGAAAGCTAGACACACTTTAAGAAGGAATTTAAGACACAATTTAAGAAGGCATAGAAGCAGGCCATTCCCATGTGCTGAGAGACAAACCGGCAGGGAAGAAGATCAGCCTGGCTGAACAGAGAACTTTGGCTTTAACTCAGAAATAAGAGTGTATCACCTTTGGAAGAAGGGACAGGTAACTCAGGAGGGCTTCAAAGATGTTGTGAGGTTATGCAGAGAGAAAAATGGAAGGGCCAAAGCCCAGTTAGAACTTAATCTAGCTACTGGTGAAAAAGACAATAAAAATGTTTCTAGAAATATATTAGCAACAAAAGGAGGGCTAAAGAGAATCTTCATCTCTTACTGGATGTGGGGAAGACATAATGAGAAAGGATGAGGAGAAGGCTGAGGTACTGAATACCTGCTTTGCATCAGTCTTTAATAGCAAGACCAGTTGCTCTCTGGGCACCCAGCCTTTTGAGCTGGAGGACTGGGATGGGGAGCAGAATGAAGCCCCCATAATCCAAGGGGAAATGGTCAGTAAACTACTACACCATTTAGACACAATTCTATGGGGCCACAGAGAATCCAGCCAAGGGTACCCACAGAATTGTCAGAAGTGCTCACCAAGCCACTCTCCATCATTTACAAGCAATCTGGGTTAACTGGAGAGGTCCCAGATGACTGGAAGTTAGAAAATGGGACATCCATCTGCAAAGAAAAGTCAGAAGGAGGATTTGGGGAACTACAGGCCTGTCAGCCTGACCTCAGTACCAGGGAAGGTCATGGAGCAGATCATCTTGAGTGCCACACATGCAGGACACCAGGGGATCCAGTCCAGCCAGCTCAGGTTTATGAAAGGCAGGTCCTGTTTGCCCAACCTGATCTCCTTCTACGACAAGGTGGATGAGGGAAAGGCTGTGGATGCTGTCTACCTGGACTTTATTAAAGCCTTTAACTTCATTTCCCACAGCATTCTTATGGAGAAACTGGCTGCTCGTGGCTTGGATTAGTGAGGGAAAACAAGGGCTGGAAGGCAGAGTCCAAAGTGTGTGGTAAATCTGGCTGCTGTCTGGTCACTAGTGGTGCTCCTCCTGTACCAGTGTCCCACTGATGAGGCCACACCTTGAGTGCTGTGTCCAGTTCCGGGCCCTTCACTTCAAGAAAGACACTGAGGTGCTGGAACGTGTCCAGAGAGGGGTAACAAAGCTGTTGAAAGGTCTGGAGCACAAATCCTGTAAGGAGTGGGTGAGGGAGCTGCGTGTGTTCAGCCTGGAGCAAAGGAGGTTCAGGAGGGACCTTATCACTCTCTACAACTCCCTGAAGGGAGGTTGTCGTAAGGTGGGGATCAGCCTCTTCTATCAACTATAAGCAACAGGACAAGAGGAAATGGCTTCATGTTGTGCCAGGAGAGGTTTAGATTTGATATTAGGAAAAAAATTTTCACTGAAAGGTTGTCAAGCATTGGAACAGGCTGTCGAGGAAAGTGGTTGAGTCACCATCCCTGGAGGTCTTTAGAAGATGTGTGGATGTGGCACTCGGGGACATGGTTTAGTTGTGGACTTAAAGGTCATTTCTAACACAAATGATAATGATTCTATGATTCTCTAATATTTATGTGCACTTTGAAAGAGAATCTTTAATTTGCACAGTTTTTACAACAAAACTAGTAGTTATAAAGCCCAGTTATTACAGGTATCATAGGCATAAACTATCTCAGTGAGCAAGAGTGACTACAAGAGAAGTAACACAATTACTCCAGTTTAAATTCATACAGATGGGGCAAAAATTTGACAAGGTGATGCCAGAATCCTTAAATGTTTGCTGCAACTGACACTGAAGCCAACACTTTACATGACACTTTTGCCACAGAATGCACCACTTGTCACTTCAATGCAAAAGAATTTACTGATGATTAAATAACTACTTTTGTCACAAGTTTACA